CTGAAAACTTTATGAATAGCGGAAAAACACTGTCAGCTATAGTGGTGGAAAATGAGCCTCTCAGGTTGGAAGGCACTCAAAATGCAGCTGGGGAAGAGCTGCCCCATCAAAATAGAGCTGACTGTAACTACTCGAATGGAGTAAGGCCCTCGGGGCCTTTATTTGCTGGTGGGGCACACAATAATCCTCACCACTGGACCAATAAACATCATTCTTATCAATGGAGAAAAGATTGAAGTTGTCAAAGACTTCATTTTTCTTGGATCAATCATCAAAACTCATGGAAGCAGCAGTCAAGAAATCAAACAACGTGTTGCATTAGGCATATCTCCTGCACATGGTCTTTTTAAAGCGTTGACGAGCAAAGATGTCAGCTTGAGGACTAAGGTACGTCTGACCCAAGCCATGGTATTTTCATTAACCTCCTATGCATGCAAATGTTGGGCAGTGAATAAGGAAGACCATAGAAAAATTGATGCATTTGAGTTATAGTGTTGAAGGAGAATATTGAAAGTACCATGAGCTGCCAAAAGAACAAACAGATCTATGTTGGAAGAAGTACAGCCAGAGTACTCTTTGGAAGCCAGATGGTCAAACTTCGTCTCTCATACTTTGGACATATTGCCCGGAGGGACCAGTTTTTGGAGAGGCATATCATGTTTGGTAAGATGGAGGGTCAGAGTAAAAGAGAAAGACCCCCAGCGAGATGGATTGGCAAAGTGACAGTATCAATGGGCTCAAGCGAGGCAACAATTGTGAGGTTAGCCCAGGAGTGGGCAGTATTTTGTTGTGTTGTGCTTAGGGTCACTATGAGTTGGTACCAACTTGATGGCACCTAACAACAACAACAATGTGCATCATTAGGAAAATCTTCTGTACAAGACCTCTTTAACATGTTGAAGAGCAAAGATATCAGTTTGAGGACTAAGGTGCGCTTGAACTGAGCCATGTATTTTCAATAATTTCATATGCATTTGAAAGTGAATAAGGAAGACCATAGAAGAATTGAGGCATTTGAATTATGATGTTGGAATAGAATGTTAAAAGTACCATGGACTGCCAAAACAAAACCCCCAAAACAATCTGTGTTGGAAGAAGTACAGTCAGAATGCTCCCTGAAAGTCAGAATGGCCAGGCTTTGTCTCTCATACTTTGGACATATTGTCAGGAGGAACCAGTCCTTGGAGAAGGATATCATGTTTGATAAAGAGGAGGATCAGAGAAAAAGAGGAAGACCCCCAATGAGATGCATTGGCACAGTGGCAGCATCAATGAGCTCAGGTGTAAAAATGATTGTGAAGTTTTTGAAAGACTGGGTAGTGTTTCATTCTGTTGTGCATAGGATCATTGTGAGTTGGTATTGACTTGATGGCACCTAACAACAACAAATGTGTATCACAATTTGTTATTTTAGAGACCCAGGAAAGAACCTCAATAACTCATAATCTGTTTGAAAGAAACAACTATAGAATTCTAGTGTGGAAGTTATTCTCTATGAGAAAGATATAACAATTCATAACCTAATTTAATTTAATTTAATTCAAAGAAGAATACAAAGTTATTGATACAATGGGTTGCATAGCTTTTTTCATACATATTTGACTGTTTATAAAGAAATAACTTTTTTAAAGGATTTACTCTAAAATGTTCTGAACATTTTAGATAATTTCAAACCTATGCAATTGAATTCATATTATAATGCTTACATCTGCATTCTGTTTAGCATCTGGCACACCTACTACATTCATTATATCTTTACTTATTAATTTTTATTGAGTTGTATTTAATTTTTATTGAGCAACTCTTAGCTTCAGTGAAATAAATTTAAAGGTTCAGATAATGTTTCACAGTATTTTATTTTATAAATAAGTGATTTAAAAACATAAGAATTACTAATTTGTTAATTACTACAGCAATCAATAGATGAGGGCAGATAGTCCTGATTTTGATCTAGAGCATTTTGCTTATGTGTGACAACTTAAGGAGGCATTTTTGTTGCTGTTGCTAAGTGCTGTTGAGTCAGTTCTGACTCATAGTAGCCTTGTATAGGATTCCCAAGAAGTGGCTGGTGTGTTTGAACTGCTGACCTTATGGTTCGAAATCCAGTGCTGATCCTACAATGCCACACCAGGAGTCCAAAGAGGAGTGAACATATAAAAAAATCATTGAATATTTGAGGTGAATTATGGTGTGACGCTATAGAATGAACCACAGGGTTGGCGCTTCAAACCCTTCAACTCCTCAGAAATCCTATAAAAGAACCAACTTCACTGCACTTAAAAAAACAAAATGCAAAACACTGAGCTTATAGGTCTCATTCTCTCCAGATAAAGAAAATTGCCTACCACTAGATGTCTCAATGGGAATGGGCAGAATCAAATGCACTGGAGAAAAAAATTCTATTCCTGAGGGATTACGTAATGAGCCGACTTGGGCAATTTTATCTCCTTTGAAAAAGTCTTCATGAGTCATTTTCCAGTTGCAGAATGAGGTTGAGTATCTCACAACTTTAAAAAAATGAAGCATTTCCTCAAGTGGAAATGAGTCTGGATGGAGGACATCAGGAACTTTGCATTCTACCAGGGTGAGTCATAAATTATCTGCACTCTGGCTGTAGAATTTATTTTAATCAACTTTTAGAAAAGACAAATGCATCATTTTTTTAAAACATAATCACCTTGCTTTTCAATACACTTTGTTCATCTGTTAGTAAGCTTTTATATTCCCTTATTAAAAAATGTTTTAGGCTGAACTGTGAGCTATTAATGCACCTCTGTCTTCACTTCTTCGTCAGAGGTGACTCTCATCCTTGAAAGGCTACTTTCAGGGGCCAACCAGATGAAAGTCCGATGGAGCAAGATCAGGACTATAGAAGATACTTGGACACCTCAAAATGAAGTTTTTAGAGAGTGCCAACAGTGTGGGCAGAGGTGTGTGGATATGCATTTTCATGTAAGATGAAAATGCCCTTGGATAGCAGTCTTCTGCATTTAATCCAAAGTTTAGGCTTCAACTCTTCAGTGAGTATTTCACTGTAACAAGCACTGTTGACTGTTTAACCTTACTTCTTGCAAGGTTTCCAATACTGGCCCTTGTGAATCTCACAAAACTGTATTAATTTTCCAGCCGATGGTTGACTTTTGAACTTTTCCT